ATTTCTCCGAGCTGGATAAGGAAGCGAAGGATATAGGCTCCCAGGTCACTATTAACAGTTATAGCTTTAAAGTCGTAGATAACGTCATCTATCTTCGAACCAGTAGACGTCGATAACGTAAGACTAGAAATCCAACGCAGAATCACTCTTGCCAAGAGGTGCTACTTTGAACTGAGTAGTCAATTGAAGAGTAAAGTCCTCTCTTGACGAGAGAAAACGAAACTCTACAAGTCGCTGATCGTTCCCGTGCTGCTATATAGTGCGGAATCATTGATGATGACAACCACTGATGAGTCAGCGCTAAGAGTTTTCGAGAAAAAGGTTTTGAGAAAGAATTATAGTTCTCAACGAGTTTGGAAGGGCTAATAGCGCGATATGAACAAAGTTCAGCAATGCATATGCTGGCTAAGTCATGTGGTCCGGATAGATAGGAATACTCCAGCTCCCAAAATTTTTGATGCATTACCCGCCGGTGGAAGCGGAGGAAGAGGGCCTCGCTGTACTTGATCATTTCAATTGGTGCCAAACAACGAAAAGAACAATGTTGTTAACTCTGCTATAATCGCGTAAGCCGTGTAAAGAAGAAAGGAGGTGGTAAATAAAGTGTCAATTGCTATCGGTGCGCCAAACAAGCAGGGGAAATAACAACACAATGCGCACATTTCACCGAATAGCAAAGACAGTAAATTACTGGGCGGTAGTAAGAAGCACATGCTGACTCCACTTTTACATTCCGAGCCGAACGTCTGTACAATTAATCTCAAATTCGAACTCAAAGTTGCGTAGAAAGGTGCTTTAGAGTATGGAAACGCCGTTTTCGTTGCACGAAGGATTATAAGTTCATTTAGAACTTTCTTTCCGGCTGTAATGTAAAAAATAAAGATGCTCTGAAGTCGACCGAACATTGTGAAAACGAGCCTAAGAGTCCATTATGTGCTTTCATGTTCAAAGAAGTATGAGTAGTAAGTATGTTTTGATGAATACGCTTCATCAGATACATTTACACTATGTTGGTTTTTCTGGTCTCCTACTTTTGTGTAATGCACACAGTTTGTCTTTGTCACCTAATTTGGCGGCAATTTTTCTGACCCCTGCGTTTTTGCATGTCAGCTGTTGAAAGCTCCCCCTTTTGGTTGTGTTACCACCAAAATGAGAAGCAAAATTTGTATCTGTCATTGCCTTAATCGCCATACCAGTATGTTTGGCGCTTCCCAGTGGTATCTTGAAGTCTGTGAACTTTCCGAAAGCTTTTTCGCTAACAGGCTAAAGCTTTAACTTTATCATTTCCATATTCCGTCATAATGATGAATTTTGTTCAAATAATTAAAAAAAACAACATTTCTATTAAATCAGAAGTATACATATGTCCTTGTATGTATTAACAGTTTGTGAAAAATAAACTCTTTAATCGTTCTTTGGTTCATTATTATAGCAGAGTCCTGTCGTTCTGCCGTTCTCATCCCCTAACTTCCGCTGACTGCATTATCTACCCAGTATTTTGTAGGCAAAATATCCCTGATATAAACCGCTCATTGCAGTAGTGAAGACACTGCAAAGGATGATTTTCAATAAATGCCCCCAAACAATTTCCTTTTCCGGTAAAACACTTATGTATGTAAGTAAGCCCTTTTGAGCTTGGCAAAAGTAATTTTTCAAAGGGAATACGATTTTTCCTTTCTTGGACACATTTTATAGCAAGCCGGTATAGGGAGCTTTAAGCTCTTACCCTTGTTTGTGTATTAGCTAAACAAGACAAATGTTTTAATCGAAAATTCATGACTTGGGGAATTTGTGCAGAAAATTTTAACCTACCTGCTGGTGTGCGATGTTACCTCCGCGTGCATAAAACGAACTGGAACAAAAAGATGCACCAAATATAAGAATTAATGTCAGTCTAAAATAAGAGTCTTGTTATCTTGCAGCCTTCATTCTTCAGTGTAACCACTGTCCATAGGCGAAAAAGAAAGTTTTGCAATGTACAAGGGACAGGCAATACTGAATAGATTTTTACTTTACTGGCGTAGACAGCGCTTCTTCTCTGTCTGGTCTTTCCAGGGAGGTGGAGGACTTCTTTTTGCTTTGCCGGCAGGCACTGCATCAAACACTTTCAAAGCCGGTTGGCTTTCATCCTGTCTCTTCATTTGCTAGACTATATCAATCAATATCTCGTGCCAATCATCGTCCCATCGGCTGCTTTATTCGCCATCCCTAATGCGCCCTATAAAATTCCCATAAAACTTATGCAAGACTTTTCCATCGAAAACTCTTAACGCCGGCTCTTCTGATGTTGTCATCGTTCATGTCTCCGCACCATATCCCAGGACGGGAACTATAAGCGACTTGCAGAGTGTGGTTTTCGTTCGTCGAGAGAAGACTATACTCTTCTATTGCCCACTAAGTCCAAAGAAGCAAATGTTGGCAAGAGTGGTTCTGCGTTGAATTTTCAGGCTTACGCCAGCAGTGACGTGGGAGTTAAGTCGCGTATACGATAAGTCTTTGTTTGATGACAGGATACATTTCGTGTTGTCCTCATTCACTACCAGACCCATATCCTTCGCATATGCCAGTAGTTGTACGGTAATTGTACCTTGCATATTTGGCTCTGCAGCTCTTATTATTTTCTCCAGCATCAAATTAAAGAAATCACACGATAAAGAATCACCCTGTTTGAAACCTCGTTTGGTATCGAACAGCTCGGAGAGGTTCTTCACGATCGGTGGTCTTAATGTTGCTTAACGTCAGTTCATGCTGTCGAAGGCTGCTATAAAATCGACGAAAAGGTTGTGTGTGTCCATCTTCTTTTCACGCTCGCATGGTGAATATCTGATCAGTGGTCAATTTGAAAGGTCCAAAAAGTTTGTTTATGGTAGGATTTAGTCTGTCACACGAAAAGCTCGATAGGACCTTATATGCGATGTTATCTTACAGCAGCAATGGTGTAGAACCGATCCACTCTCTTCAGATTTCTCCAAAATTTTACCTATTGCTTGAGTAGTTGGACGATTAGGCGCACCATATTTTTCTCTTCAACTAAGAAATATGGCCACGTTTGAATGTCCATTTTTTTGTAGGATTTAACGTGATTTTTAATTGCATCAAAACATGTTTGGCTTGACAGTTCAGTTTGACAGATGTCAAAATACATTCCTATACTTTTTAAACCGCGAAGATGTAAACCAAGACCTTTTGCACGCATTGCTAATAACTGTTGAGTTGAGTTGATGAGGCCGCTGGTAAACCCCAGCACACTTAGACCAATAGGCCCATTTTGATACCGCTGAAGCTGCTGCCTTCAACTTCCCAAATGATCGAACCATTTTATGTCTCTTATAAAGCCGAAAAGATTTCCAATGTTCACTGTGGTCTACTCAGCGAGACGGTCGAAGAAGTGTTTCCCAAGAAACTTGTATCGCGCGAACGCCAAGGCTGGACAGTGGCAGAGGTAATGCTGGATGGTCTCCTCCTCTTCTTCGGCGGCAGAAATCGTTAGAGTAGAAGGCAATCCTAATCCCGTGAAACCCCATTAAACAGTGTTCAATTATTATACCCGTGGCTAAACTAATGAAGAAGCGGTCCAGAAAGATAAGATGTTTAGATTTTTTGGCATCCAATTTTTGACATAGCTATCTGGTCATGTTACACGTGATCTCGTTTAACCATCGTGAGTCAGATTCCCTATTTAAGCATGTACTTAGCCGTGGACAGAGGTAAGCCCGCATCATGTGCGTGTTTTATCGTAGGCAGAAGGGTTTCTTCTCTTGCGAGTTCGTCTACCAGGAAATTGCCCGGAATGTCCCTGGCAATACCGTACTTCGTTGAATCTTTGTTGAAAGTCTTTCTTTCTTATGGCCACTTTTGACGTGGTACCGTTACATTGAAGATATCTGATCGCAGCATGACTATCGAGGTAGATTGTTACTGATTGCCCTGCTGCCTGTTGAAGCTGCCAAATCATCCGAATGCTCTAGCGAGTGTTTTATCCAGCAAGTCGAGTGCTTAACACCGAATACGCTGATTAGAAAACTTACCAGCTCAGATTGTGGTTTGCCTTGACAGCGACAGGCAAACACCTACAAACAACAAGCGATCTACTCCAAAATACGGGTTGGATGTGAACCCTGATAAAACCGAGATGGTGTTATTTACAAGGAAGTACAAACCACATGCCATTAAACCACCTAAACTAAAGGACGTGGAGCTCACCCTCTCTATACTACACCAGTCAGGCTGTAGTCAGATCTCTTCAATTTAACAGTGTCACGTAAAAAGTGGCCATAAACTGTAGGAACACTTTCAACAAACTCTCAACGAAATGGTCGGGTACCTGGACACAGCGACTCCCAGGAAATCGCATGGCAGACGAACTAGCAAGAGTAGGAACACTGCTACCCACCTGATTCACCTCTGTCCGCGGCAAAGTACATGCTTAAACAGGCCTTGACCAGGGAAGTTGACTCCAGATGGTTGAACGAGATCACAAGCAGCGTGACCAAACAACTATGGCCGAAGTTGGACGTGAAAATATCAAAACATCTTTTCCTTCTCGACCGGTTCCCCATTAACATAATGACTGTCGTAATAATTGGACACTGTTTGATGGGGCTTCATTTCTGCCATATCTATAAAGACGAAGAAGAGGAAGAGACTATCGAGTACTACCTCTTTATAAGGCACAAGAAATGGTTCGATCATTTGAGAAAGTGAAGGCAGGAGCCACAGCGGTATAAGCATATTGGCCTAAGTGTGCACCAGCAGCCGCATCAACTCAACTCAAGTCGAACTCTCCTTCGAAGAAGAGATCTGCATCTCATGAAACAGTCCAATGCTCAGAGAACATCTAAGCTCGATTAAACTTGCAACTTTCACTTTACTTAATTACTTTATTTACAAATATATCATTTTGGTATATTTCAATACCAATTCAAAAAAAATAATATATTTCAAGAAATAACACAACAGTTTGACTATTTTTACTTTTGCCTCATAGCATTAGAGTGACTAAAACTAAATTCTACATTATAAATGAGTATGTATCAGGAATTGTGTACAGACGTCAATGTACGAGTGAAAAAGTTACAAATTCTTATGTGTCCTCAATACCCTCCAACGCGCTGCCAGCATCGATGGAATCATTGCATATCGAGAGATCCGATTCAGAGCTCGAATGACTACCACGACTGAGTGAATGGAATTCTTCGCCATGTTTACTGAGCTCATCGTTGTCTTCAGCACCACCACAACTGATTGGAGATGAAGTGCGCTCCTCGAGTACCGGGTTGTTGTTATTATTATTTGGTATGCCACTGTTATTCACTATGGATGCGCCCACGGAAATAGCGCCGCCTAAGGGCTCTGTTGTGCCCGGCAATTGTGTTTGACGTAGAAGAGCGAGACGTTGTTGTGTGATTTCCAAATGATGTTTTCGCCATTTGATGCGTCGATTCTGAAACCACACCTTCACCTGTGCTTCGGTCAGTTGTAAAGTGTGTGCTAGGTAAAGCCGCTCTGGTCCGACCATATACTGTTGTCTTTCAAATTCAGCTTCCAAACGCTCCAGTTGCTCCGGTGTGAAGATGGTGCGAACTCGTTTATTTTTCAGGGAAGACTTCTTCGCATTACTTTCTGGAAAAAGATAATTGAAACATTTGTAAATATATTTTGGTATATATGTACATACATACATACTAATTATTATTATATATTTATATATAATTGTAACCGCTGAAGCGATTTTTCGGTCGAGCTCCTCCTCCAAATTGTGGTTTTGCGTCTTGATGTTTTCCCAACAAATGGAGAGACCTACAGTTCATACTAGGCCCCTTCCGAACGGCTGATAGTTTTTTTAACGAGGAGCCTTAATTTCATGTCTGGAACTCACTCGGAGGGGTGGGCGTCTCTGCCGAGGGGCGACCGCAGTTATTATTACAGACAATAAAAACAACTACTTATGTGGAAATGTGAATGTTGAGAGAAGATCGTTTTACAACTATCTGTACTTTTTTAGCTCTTTTCTCTGCTCTAGCAGTAAACTTCGGAGCCACTTTCCTAATACCTCGACCCCTATAAGTGAGAATTACGACCTTTTGTCAAATTTCATTGAATCGATAATAACTAAGTCTAACGTTTTTTGGAGAATGATGTGTAGAAGTGGAGACGGTTCAAGTCTATGACCTCCAGTCTTGGTTTAAGTATCCTCCCTATAGCGAGCAAACATCCATTTGGAGACAAGCTCATGGAGACGATGGTTGCGTACAGGTTTTTATGACCCAATATATAAAGCATGAGCGCCTTTGAAAAATCACAATAAGCCTCTCATCAAAGACCCTTTTTGATGATGACCCACGCAAACATTCAAGATGTAGCAAGCCCCAGAAATGTTCATAAGAAAAGCGGTTGATATGAAGTCCACTACAACGGCTCCTTATAGAAGGGTTAGATTTGCTGTAGGTGAGAAGCTAAAATCCACCCAATAATCCGCATCTAAAGAAACATCTTCAACTTACCCCTGATTTGTACATACAGTGCGACGAAGAGAGAGAAAGATGTTTCTAGATATATATTTAGATATCTTAACATAATAATCGGAAAATTCAGCCTTCATGACGAAGCATACCCGAGCTGGTTGACGCTTTTGACTTCGTCGGGCCCAGAAATATGATTGTCTGTAGCATCAACTTCCGACAAAAGTAAATTTCCGTAGCTTCATTGCCTTCACTTAATAGAAAATCGTGCAACCAAATTCACTTTGTTCTGATGACGGGACACATGTTTCGAATTTTCTAGATATGTGTACTTCCCTAACAGCTGGGACTTCCAGAAGGTTTCAACCAACGTTAAAATCTGCTGACCAATATCCAGAGCGTAAAGAATTTATGAAGGGAACACTTCTTCTTCTTGCTGGGTGGCAGTGAAAGCACAACACCGGGTAATGGTAATCTGATAACTGACCTTGAAGAAGTCCACATAGCGATCGCTTTTCTGAGAGATAACGAAGTCTGTTTACACTATGCCCAATTCACAAAAGGTGGCCGTGCAGTCTGCGCCAATAAGTTGACGTCATGGAATACGTCTTCCCAACTCATAAACAAAATCTTATCTCGCATATTGTTTGAAAAATTAAAGCCTACTGTCAACGAACTGATTCGATCTTAAAGATTTTAAGACAAGACAAAATATCCCTTCAAATAAATAGCCAGCGCAGTCCTTTCTTGACTCTCACTTCACATCACATTGACTGAGAGAACATTAGCTATAATTTCGTCTATCTAAGAACCAGCATCAATGCCCAAAACAATGTCAGCCCAGAAATTCAACCAGGAATCAGCCTTGCAAACAGGTGCTCCCTTTGAGGCGATTAAAAGGTAAAGTTCTCTCTCGACGGAGATCAAACTGTCCAATATCACGATCTGCTTTGTGGTACAGGACAATGCATAATGTCGACATCCGATGAGTTTCCTTTGGGTGTTTTGGGGAGAAAGTATTCGCGAACGGTTTACATGCGCATGGGCGACTGCGTCTAGTACATACGATGGGCCGAAATATACCACGTGACTCTGAAACTATCCCATTCAGTGACCGCTACTGAAAGCAGAGAAACAGGAAGGCCTATCAGACCAGCTGATATCACTTGTTGGTTCCAATTGGCGTCGAACTGTGAAGAGAAGAAACTACTTAGCTTCGGAAAAGGATATTTCTATAAAAAGACTCTTTCCGAAAAATTCTCTCATATCAATTAAAAAAAAACACTATGCAATTTTAGCCTTTCTGCTTTGGCAAGGATGTAGTAAATGCTCCATACAATTACGAAGCTAAAGGCCTAGTCTGGAGAAACGATTAAACCACACTGAAAAAATGCTGGAAGTGAACGTGAGCCACACTTACCAGATCTGTGTTTCTCTCGTTGAAGACTCAATGAGCTTTGCTGAGCGTGATGCTGATGCAATTGCTGCAGGCTCTGTAGTGCCGACGATGTACCACCCGATGCAGCTGCCGCAGCTGATGCAACCGAACGAACATGCGACAATAATAGACTTTGCTGCTGTTGTTGCTGCTGCTGCTGCTGCTGTTGTTGTTGTTGTTGTTGTTGTTGTTGATGATGCTGCGTTACTGCGGCTGCGGCGGCAGCAAACGATGATGTAGCTGGCGTTGTTGATTTAGACGAGACCGGTATGGGCAAATAACGGTGTATCAGCGCCGCGCCAGCATTGCCATTTGACGCCCGCAAATGTTGATGTGATTGTTGCTCAATATTTTCCACCTCATCGTCACTAAAATTCTTACTTTGATTACTATACGCCGTCCGACGAACAAATGATTCTCTGATGCCGTCCTCATCACTGCTATTCAATGACAAATTAATCGCGTTGTTGTAGTCCTTACAACTGTTCTCCATGGCGCTCTTCTGCAGACCCAAAATGGCGGCAATCGTGAATGACTTGCCCATGTCGAGGGAGGTACTTGTCGTGTCTAGCAGCTCGTGAGTGCGTGTTTGCGTTGAATGCAGAAATGGGCGGATGGCGTGTTGTTGCTGTTGGTGTTGTTGTTGTTGTTGCTGTTGTTGTAGCTCACGTGGTGGTTGATTTTGTAAGAGGAATGCATTGTTGTTGGGCTGTTGATTAGTGCCCGTCATTGTTGAGTGATGGTTGTGGTAGTGTTGTTGCTGCTGCTGCTGCTGCTGTTGTTGTTGTTGCTGTTGTTGGAGTTGGAGTTGACTTTGTGTAGCGAAAACCGGTGGTAGCGCCACCAAATGCGATTGATGATGTTGTGTGGCAATATTGTTATTTGCCACAGCCTGAGAACTATGCAAGGCCAATAAGTGGGAAAACGGATTTGGATGATATTTCGAGGGATTCTGCAACATGCTGTTGTTGTAAATACTCAATGCTGTTATCTTTCGTTTGTCTTTCGTTTAGTAGTTGCCACTTTAACGACACATTTGTGTATGACCGCAGCTATTACGCCGGTGCTGTCCAAGCCCGCTGACGGACTCTGCACGTGCGTTGCCGATGCAGCAGGTGTGTGCGCGCGTATCACTGCAAATATGTATATCCGTTGGTAGACTTTATTGTCTCATGCTATGAGTTTGCGGTCAATGCACTTGTCGGCAGTTAGACAATTAGAAATATAAACCTTTGGATGCATGTACATAGACACAATAAGAAGAAACAAAAGAAACATACCAACCAGTTAAGATTAATGGCTAGAAAACTGAATAGTTTAGTTAAAGTACTAAATGGTGTCCATTACAATGAAATAATATATTTTAATATAAATGTGACTATATACATATTTACGAGTATATAAGCGCATTAGACTAGTCCAAAAAATAGTAACCCTTAGATTTTTAATGTTTGCTTTCGAAAAGATATTTTTCACATAACAAATCAGCGGACACCGGAAATGGCAAAGGGTGATATCTGCGGTAGTCGCGGTAAATGAATTTCAAACAAGAAATAAAAGTTCCACTTAACAAGAAGAACCTCCATTTAATAAAAAAAAAACATCAAAACACCACCAAATTGGAGGAGGAGTTCGACCGAAAATCGCTACAGTACGTGTATTTATAAAGTGCCTAGTAAAAGGTGATTTCTTTAAGAGCAAATCATACAAATCAAAAAAATGTATGAAATCTTTATCTGAATCGATATTACGGTCCATATAATTTAATGTTTGAAGATTATTTCATGCAAATCTTGACTGCGCCTCAAATGGTCCAACCGCTTAGTCCAATTTTGGCATACGCTTTCCAACATTATGGCCGGTATCTCACGAATAAATGATACAATGTTTTTTTCCAATACGTCAATGGAAGCGGTCTTGTCCCTATAGACATTAGATTGAACATATCACCACAAAAAATAATCCAAAGGCGTTAAATCGCACGATCAAGGCGGCTAATTCAGCGGTCCTGGACGTGAAATGAAATGTTCACCGAACTCGCCTCTCAATAAGTCCATTATTACGCATGCTGTATGGCATGAGGCACGATCTTGTTGAAACCACATGTCATGCAAGTCAAGCTCTTGCATTTTGGACAAAAAAAGTTTGATATCATCTCACGGTTTCGCATCATCTTTAAAGAAGTTCGGTCCAATGATGCCACCAGCCAATAGACCGCACCAAACTGTGAGTTTTTCTCGATACTTTGGTAGGTTTTGCAAAGCTTCTGGCTGATCTTCAATCCAAAATCGACTTTTCTGCTTAATGGGTGCGAAACCATTAAGCCAAAAATGAGCTTCGAAGCGCGCGTGGAAGAAGTATTGGTACTATTGCCGAACTAAGTGTAAAATATTCACATATAAAATAACGCCGAACCTTTCTCAATTTAGAGTTCTCCCAAAATACCTTTTTCTGGTTCCACGATTGAATCCCATTTTTTTTTTTATATCCGAGGAATTCATCATTACTTTTAGAATGAATTTTGGCTGTACGCTAAAAAGATCTATCCAAGCCTTCCATGGAATACATAGAGTCGGATTGAGCCGGCGAGATCATTATCCAATTTCGCACATTGAAAATACCAACCTACCTTGCGCTCTAAACAAAATATGTATGTATTACTATACATACTAAGTCTTTACTCAAAGAGACAAACACTCAGCAGTTTCTTTTTGTTTATTCATAAACTAGAGAACGACCGAAAATCGATTTTAAAGGCGAACCGAATATCTTTAGTCGAATGAAGGAGAATTCCTAGTGTATTTTTGGTCCGTGATCAATAAATTAATAGTACTTTCATTCTCTCTTCGCAATCGTCTTCATAACTAGCTGACATTAAGCTTGTTTCATCTTTTCGTCGTGAGAAAATATTTCAAAGTAAAAAAAAATTTCAAAAAATAATTGAAAAATTCAAAATGTGTGCCTTATATTTAATACTAGAGCTCGTCCGTCACTTCGTCCGCATGGAATTTAAAGATGATTCTAGTAAAGTTTTTTCAAGCAGTTCAATCACTGATCCTCCTCTCGGGGGGAGGAATGGTTTTCACATAGTGACCTAGGTAAAAGAGTTAACCAAATACCATATACGATTTATCTGAATAGATCGATCTTAAATCCACTTTCTAACTAATCTAGATATAGAGTTAGTACCTCTGATCCCGATTTTCTATAAATCGAAAGATTTAAAAATAAATTTAGTTTTCGATTCCAGGATGATAATTTCTTATCGGTTGCCTAAGTCATACGCAAAACACAACCTCCAAGCTTGAGGTCTGCATGAGCAGTAGTTTAGGATGTGGGTCATTTAGGACACTTTTATAAATAAAAAAAGAAAGCTGGTTTGTTTGTTCATGGGGCACATTATCTACTTTTTGGACTTACGTGCCTTGAACTTTAAAAGTAAACTGCCAAATGTGGTGAGGAATAGTTACAAAAAGTATGATTCGTGGAGGCGAACGGAAGTTGAGAGCGTTGATATACATACGAGAGCGTAAAGACAAGAAGAGAGAGAGACCTACGTTCGTATACCTAATACTCAGCGCAGATCTATTTAATTTTTCTTAACTTTTTCCATAGAAGACTTCTTAGTTAGGGTCGAGTTTTATAAAATTTTGTTGTTCATTTCCGAAGGAGACTTAAATGTCTATCTTGCGACACAATCCCTAGAAGATAAATTATTATAATTGGATAATAATTTAAATGAGCTCACCACTACTTAACATGGTCGCAAAAATCGAAGCAGATTTCTCCAGATATCTTTCTAATATGCATTTAATTACAATCAGGTGTACAACTTTGCTTCCGCCGTTTTCCGATAGGTGGCTGTACCGGCTGAGGCTGGTTGAAATACGTAGATGCTAATGCCTTTGAAGTGAGTGTGGACAGTGCCTAACGAATTGTCATCGCCATTTCAGTGACAGTTGTTCTTGTTTTCGTATTATTCACGCTCGAAAATGTCCGTTTATCTGCCTAATTCTCGCCATTTGAGGGAAGTTTTACTTTTCTGTTACAATTCGAAAAAAAATGCAGCTGAAGCGCATCGAATGCTCTCAGAAACTTACGGTGATGCTGCTCTGAGTGAAAGAACGTGTCGGGAGTGGTTTCAACGTTTTAAAAATGATGATTTCGAATATTCACGGCGCCAAGGTTATGGTTTGTATTTGGTGGGATCAGCTCGGTGTGGTTTACTATGAGCTCTTAAAACCGGGTGAAACCATCACAGGAGATCGCTACCGAACGCAACTGATGCGCCTTAGTCGCGCGCTAAAAGAAAAACGGCCACAATATCAAGAGCGACATGACAAAGTCATCCTCCAACTCGACAATGCTCGGCCTCACATCGCAAAAGTGGTCAAAAAATACCTGGAATTGCTGAAATGGGAAGTCTTCCCAAACCCGCCGTATTCCCCAGATGTCGCCCCTTCTGACTTCCACCTATTCCGTTCGATGACACACGATAGCGTCAAAAGAGGACCCGTTTTTTCGAGCCGGGATCCGAAAATTGCCGGAAAGATGGGAGAAAGTTGTCGCTAGCGAAGGACAATACTTTGAATAATATATCTGTAAGCACTTTTTCGCAATAAAGCTTTTAATTTTGGGAAAAAACGGCGGAAGCAAAGTTGTACCCTTGATAGATCATGAATTGAAGGGAATATATTTTATGTGAGTGTGTGAAAAATAGTAATTATTACAAAAATAAAATGAAAAAAGTCACGAAGTGTTGAATCAATTCCACTACAGAAGGCGGCTACTTTTGGTTTATGCTCTTTTCCAAAAAGGTGATTTCTATTCATTAATGAAAACTCCGTTAATCATTATTTACTGTCTCTAACATACACGTATTCTGAGAAATACACCTTGATACACCACATTTGATGCATGCGTTTTTTTTTGCCGAAGCCGAAGCCGAAGCCGAATCGAACTCTTGAGGCCGAATAAGCCAAAGCCAAAGTCCGGTCGTTCTGTAGTGTTCATCAAACGTTGACATTTAACACCTCTTGTTGAAGTACACATATGTACATAAATAAAAGTAAAACAAGCGAATTCAGCCAGGCGCATCGAAACGTTTTATGAATGAAATTTTTCATTCAAGTTAAGTTGAAATTGGTCTTATTATGGCATTAACATAATATACTCGGCTAAATGAAGAGAGTGAAGACAAATACATACATATATGCACATAAAAATATGCATACATACGTATATACAAATATGTGTGTGTAAAAACTGCAATCTATAGAAATCTAAAATAAAAAAAATTAAACCTTTACTTGTCTCTTCAATAAGAAATCCACTCTGTGACCAAGTTGAATCAGGTGCTCTATGTAAAAATACGTATACACAAAACGGTAATCATACATTTTGCAAAGAGGACGCTTTCACCGAGAACTCAACGCATTCACCTGTTCTGTCGTCGTGTGACTTCTGGCTATTCAAAAGGCTTAAAAGGACGTTCCGGGGGGGTTGAGAAGATTCATCGAATGCTGCTGAAGAAATTTTCGGCATTCCGGCCGATGAATATAGAAATATATTGAGGGCTTTAGTTCGAGAAATAAAGCAGTATTTTGAAATTTATAAAAAAAAGTTAAAGAAGATACCAAGTACCTAAGGACCATTTTGGGTGCCAAACTGTTGTGGAAGCTCAACGTGGCGTAAGACGGCCGCGGTAGTGAGTGGTTAGTATTTAGAACTGATATTTGGAAGTCCAACATCGAAATTAAATTAAGTAAATAATTATGTTAAATTTTCTTATTGCGGTCGACCCTCCAAGTGTGTTTCTGGTACAAAATAAAGGCTATTCATAGAAAACCATTAGCCTTTCGAAGGTGGCTTAGTAGTAGTAGCGGCTAAATGAAGAGAATGAAAACAAATACATACACATACGTATATACACATATGTGTGTGTAAAAACTGCAATCTATA